TCTCTCATCTAAATTGACAATTCAAGTTTTCCTGGCAATAAAATCAAGAAAGTTTCGCTCGACAACATGGCTCCTACTCAGGGCAAACCTTTCCCCCCCGGAATTCACGTTCCCAGCTTGACGTGGTTCAAAGCTACGGCTGAGCAGGAAATCGATTGGGATGTGCAAAGAAAACACTTGGAGTTTCTTGTCAAGTCTGGTCTACATGGAGGTACCTAGGTTTCTACGTCCGATTTGAGTTCAGGTGATCTATGCTAAATGACCAAATTACCAGTTGTCCTCGCCGGCACCAACGGGGAAGCCGTCACCCTTACGCGTGAGGAGAAGGCCCAACTAGTCCAACTCACTCGAAAGATTGCCGTTGATTCCGGCCGTGGAGATCTTCCAATCACTCTTGGATGTGGAGGGCAGTGCACACGCGATGTCATTGCAGAGACCCGGCTCGCCGCTGAAGCTGGTGCCGACTTTGCCTTGGTACTCACTCCAAGCTACTTCCACTTTGCCATGAATCAAGGTTCCATTGTTGCCTTTTTCCAAGAGGTACATTTCTCCGTTCTAATAACTGATTCTAATCATTCATCAACTAACCGGCCCGCAGCTTGCTGATGCTAGTCCCGTGCCCATCGTCATATATAACTTCCCAGGTGTCGCAGCCGGATTGGATGTAAACTCTGAGTCGCTGGAATCCCTGGGTCGCCATCCTAACATTGTCGGGGTCAAACTGACCTGCGGAGGAATCGCCAAAGTTGCGAGAATACGCGCATCATTTGAGCCATCACAATTCTCGGCCTTGGCTGGGCAGAGCGATTGGCTGACCCCGGCGCTCTCCGTGGGAGGCACTGGTGTGATAACTGGCATTGCAAATCTTTTCCCTAAGGTGGGTGCAGCTTCTGCAGCTGATTTAAAACATAGTGTATGCAGATTCTAACCTCTTACAGTGCTGTATTGAGATCTTCGACCTCTTCGTAGCTGGGAAGAGAAAGGAGGCGGAAGCTGCGCAGTTGAAACTTGCACGCATGGAATGGGGATTCGCCAAAGGGGGGATCAACGGAACGAAATGGATTGTAGCTAAACTTCTCGACTACCCACAGGAAAGCCACCACTGCAGAAGACCTTATCCTCAGTATGCTGACCCCAAGCAGCAAGAGTGGATGTCCGCTACTTGCAGCATTTTGGTAGACGACGAAAAGAGGCTTAATTCGGTGAGTACATAGAGATTATTCTAGCATAGACATATCATAGACCCATGGCATCAATATCACGAGTTCACCTCCCATGCACGTCCCTATGATCCAGGTTATAACTCTTAACGGATGAAAATGTCACTGCGGCTATAGTGATACATAGCTGTGAATAGTGCCAGTATTCCCCTCTCTTGCCTTAACCAGTGCTGGCACCATAACTGTGTTGGCAATGGTTTGTGTGCCTTCCGAGACGCCGGGATTTACTCCAATTTACCGGGGTTGCGTCTTCTACAAGGCTCAAGCTGAGGTCCAGTCAATCAGATCATCTTGGCGACCCCTCACCGCATCAAAGACACTTGGACTTGACGATGAGGAGGAAACGTGCAGTTTCCCTTGGTCAATACTCATTCAATAGCGTTGCCCCAATATCATGATCACCCCACAACCAAAGTCTGGGGCTCGTCGCTTCCTCTCGCTGTCCTATCGCCTTGCATTTTCCCCGACACACTCATGATCCTTGCGAGTTCAACTTGTTCAGGTTAGCGCATCCGATGTGAAGCCAAGCCCTTCCTTCCTCCTTGGTCTGCGGTGTTTCCCCGAGTCATGTCTGAAGATGATGCGGAGTCTTGTCTTGGCTGCGGGGAAATAAGCCGGGCAGTCAGTTGAGTTCTGCACGCAGAGTCAGGTTGTGTTCTGATGTGCCTGCGTGTTTACTCATGCTCTCAGCCATCCATGTTGTTTTATGCAGCTCTGGCAGGCCAGTATGACGTGCATGGGCGCAGTTTACAACACAACTGGGTTTCTCCTGGGACCGGTTTTATGACCACGTATGAGGCCCCAGATTACCAGGAGCCCCCGGATTTTTCTCCCCATTCATGACATCGCCTCGAGGAAAAACAGATCCACATGGTCGACTTCTAGCCCACCGCCCCGCTCCCCCAGACTAGGCCAGGCCTCTGGTCGGTCTGGGGTTCGATAAGCTCGGATATTGGGGGTAGGAGCCACGCTCCCTCCGATGACAGTCTTGTCCTCTTGGCCCTTGCCACTATGGCTCAGATGCTCTAACTCGATCTTGTATTGGTATCCGACCAGCTGGAGTACTATAACTTCTTCCATAAAAGGTCCTTGATCAACGCACATATCCTCCCGACTCTCCTTGCAACCACAACCCATCTCGCCTACTTACCATTTCATCTATTTCGTTGCATTGGAAAACCCTCCAAAATGGGAAGCTCCGACAAAGATGAAGCCCTTGGCGTCGCCATCCATGTCGGCGATGAGGAGAACATCAAGACTAAGCATAACGAGCATACACTGCCCAAGCCAGACAGCATCGCAACCTTGAACGATGAAGAGCTCAATTTACTGAAGAAACGAATGGTTCGCAAGATGGACCTTGTCATCATGTGCGTGTCCCCAATCTGCAAAGAGAGATCAATTTAAACTAACTTTGGTACTCGTTCTGAAGGCCTATTATGGGTATTTTGTACATTCTCAACTACGTTGACAGATCGGCCCTCGCAGCCACAAAGGTGTACGGAATCATGGAGGATCTTGGCATGGACACTGCTCAGTTTGCCACTGCCATTTCAATTCTTTTCGGTTCGTGCAATGAAGCGCTGAAGATGGTTTGAGAGGCGCATAACTAACTAACACATACCTATAGTCGGTTATATTCCTTTCCAGATTCCCTCCAACCTGATCATGACAAAGATTTCACGTCCTGGATTCTGTTAGTATTCATCCACCCTCCTGTTGACTCACGAACGAGTGTTAACTCATTATTTCCTCCGTGTTCCAGATATTTGCTCTGCTGCTGTTATTTGGGGAGCAGTGAGTTCTTGTACCGCGGCTGTCAAAACCTACCAGCAATTACTCGTTGTTCGCGTGTTTTTGGGTGTGACTGAGGCAGTCTTCTTCCCGGGAGTCATTTATTTCCTCAGCGCATGGTATACCAAACACGAGCTGGGTAAGCGACTGGCAGCCCTCTTCATGTTCCAGATGGTCGGAAGTGCCTTCGGAGGCTTTGTCGCTGCCGGCTGTCTCACTTTGGACGGCCGTTATGGCATATCCGGATGGCGTTGGCTGTTCATCGTGTTAGTTGTTCCCTTTCCCTCCTCCTCGTCGATGGTACTAATACTGTGCCTTGTAGTGAAGGTGTCGTCACAATTGGCTGCGGTCTTATCTTTGCTTGTTTCATGCCGGAATACCCTCACAATGCTCGTCTACTAAAACCTGCGGAGCGAGATTACGCCGTCTGGCGACTCGAATGTGAAGCCGGGGCAGGAGAAGCCCATGAGGAGACTACTGCCATGGGCGGCTTTAAGCTCGCTCTTCTGGATCCAAAGATTTGGGCTCTTGTCTGGTGCATGCACATGTCCCAGGCTATGGGCTCAACTGTCAACTTCTTCCCTTCCATTGTCCAGACCTTAGGCTACGACAAGACCAACACGATGCTCCTCACTGCGCCTCCCTTCATCCTAGCTGCCATCGTCTTCTATATCATTTCATACATTAGCGATGTACGTTTCAGCTTCATTATATTGAATTGTTGGGATCTTCATACTGACAGTTTCTTTGTAGCGCAAAGACGCGATGTATGTCATCATCATATCGTGTCTTGGAGTTGGCTGCGTGGCCTATGTCATTCCCTTGGCAACCGTCCAGACTGCTGCTCGATACGTGTCCATGATGCTCATGCCAGCCGCTGCAGGTAGGTCTTCAGCCCCCAATATATAAGGGGTCATTTTACTAACTGATGTCGCTTTTAGCTGGCCCCCAAATCATGCTGTATAAGACCCTGAATCTTCATATGGCACGCCCATTTAGTAAGAGATCCGTTGGTACCGCCATGATCAACTCCATCGGAGGTCTTTCCAACATCTGGGCCAGCTATCTCTACTTTGGTCCTCCCCAGTATACTGCGGCTTTCGCTTGCGGTGAGTATTCAGCTTTCTCTCTTCATACTAACTGGCTAGAATATGGAATTGACTCTTATTTCTTGTTTAGTTCTCGGCTGTGCCGTCTCTTTCTTCCTTACGATTACCACCTACAGATGGCATGTGAGGAAGCTTAACCGCCTTCTTGGGGGTACTGAGGAGGAACAAAGCCGTGTCATGAAGAAGGGCGTGACCCAGCAGCAAGTCGATCTTGGTTGGCGATATATTGGATACTAAACTGGCTGGAAGGATGGAAAGATCATACACAGTACACAGTACACAGTATATACTCTATCTAAACCCTAGAAGTATATTCTTCGATGGCTTATAAATTATATGCTTTTCCCTCTCAAATTGGGATGAAGGGAAACAAATATCTGCTTTTTATGATGCCATTTACCGTGGTGGCTGTCCAAGGATAATGAGAGGTAAGAAAGGATCAGGAAACAAGGAGCGTGGAAGAGATAGAAGACATGTCAGGTTAAGCGATTACTATCCCCCAGAGGCTCGTATCTCAACCTGACGATAGTTTTCAAATGGAAGCAAAATCAGAGTCAAGAATCCACCAGAGTCCACCATTCAATGGAGTTAATGGAGAAGCAAATGGCGCAATGAGTTACGCATACGGCATCCTCGCACAATCAATCCTGCACCGTTGACATCTTCCTCTGCCACTGCCTCATAAGATGCCGTTGCAACTCCGCACAGCCACCAAGGACGATGTCCCCGCCTTGGGCAAGGCATTCAATCCTCCAATAACTCCATCTCCAGCCGACTCTTCCCGCCACACCTCCGGTCAACAAAGCAACAGGATGTTGACGTAACGCTCGCGTGGCGCAAGGCGCGCAAAGCAATTCTCGTGGCTGACACAGAACACTTAATGGTCAAGGTCATTGTGGATGACGAGCTTGATGGGGGGATCGTCGGGGTCGCTGTTTGGGAGCTTCCCAAAGACGAGGCCCCAGGCTCTACGGAGGTCAGGAAAAGCAAACCGAAGGCAGTGGCGCCGACCCCCTTCCAGAACTGGATCAAAGTTCTTTCAGCGAGATGAAGTCGATCCTTGCCAACGACGCTGTTCAGGCATTTGGGAAAGATGGAGTCGCCCATGCGTACTGTACGTGTGCCCAGATAAACATTCATGCAGGTTTTCTTCGTGACAAATTTTAATCCAGCGCAGACCTTAATCCAGCGCAGACCTACAATACCTTGCCGTCGACCCAGCACAGCAGAAACGAGGGATCGGGAGAATGTTGGTGAGCTGGGGCGTTCGGGAGGCTGATAAAAGGGCCAAAAAGTGTTACTTGTTTGCAACAGAGGCAGGACGACGCCTGTACGAGTCGGCGGGCTTTGAAGTCGTGAGAGAGGTTCCTGTCTTTGGTTTCCCACACTACTCCATGATCCGACAGCCCATAGAGACCTCTTCTTGAGTAAGAAAAGAAGAAATGAGGAAGTCGAGTGCCGAGAAGCCGTCAGGAACACTGTGTTAGCTACTTATTCAGCGAAGACGACAAAGTCAGTGGCTCATTGAAAGCCAGTCGTCGTGAGTAAATCAATTTGCAAGAGACCCGACTGACCCTAGAAATTTTAGTTCATTGGCTTGAGTCAACGACAAACTGGCCGCTGAAAAGTACCGTAAACCATATACGACATAGCGGCCTTTCGGCAACATTCATCAGCATCAAAAGGGTTGGATTTCAGCTGCTTCTGATTTCTCAATACTAAAACAAGAATTATCAAATAGCCAAGTGAGCCGGGGGGGAGTGAGCGTGTTGTTCCAGTAACTGGGCACAATCCAGTGACTGAGCACAAGCCAGCCCGGGAAGAAGGCCGAAAACCTCGCAATCATTTGTCAAATTAATTAATAATCTATTAATAACTACCCAGGGATCCAAGGCACCAAGCACCCAGGCAAATACTTGCATTGTATGTCAGTAGCCACTTAAGAAAACTTAGGTCCTCGCCGACACAGCCAAGGTAGCAAGTAATATCATAATCAGATGACACATGAGAGAAAAAAGAATCTTCATACGAGAAAACATATTGTGTGGGGCAAGGCAAGTTTCTCTCCCCCTTTCCCCCCAAAATCGGACTGAGGCTGCCTCGGCCAAAATTATGTGTGGATCCCCTCGGCCTTCTTCCTCTTTGAGAAACGGGGTACACTCTGTGGTTTCAGCCAGTCAGCATCTAATCTACGTTTCCAAAGTCCACCGGATGGCTTTCCGCGGCAAGGTAACCGTTGAGACCAGGCATAACGAAACAAGGAACCCGGAACAGGTGTATTGGAGAGAATATACTGCCCAGGATTACCCCACGCTGTAGATGCCCCAATGTTGCTTTAGCCTTGAGGCACACGTCAGACAACTGTGTAGGTTTCTCTTCCGCAGTGAAAGGTGGAGGGCAAAGAATTTATCACCATACCATCTAGAAGATTAGTTGCCGCAAAATACCAGAGATTGTGGCAATTGTCCACAATGTTAGTGACCTACCCAGGCCAACGGAGGATTGTCCGGTCGAGCATTAATGAACCTTGATCATAACACTGAGTCAGTCTGCTTGCGGAGAAACCTATGTCTGCGGTGCCACCCATGGTACATTCATCACACGATAGTGCATAAGCCGGCGAAACCTCCGGGCCCACCACCAAAAAACGGCCTTACCTGCGAGCCCCCATTACAAGCCCCAACTTTCTCTGTTTCTTGCTAAAGATTGGCTGCTACGCGCGGGGAAACTAGCATTTCCCCATGGTTTCATGTGGGGAAGCCAGCTGTTGTTCTGGCCCCAAAGTCGCCAGAATGACACACCGAGACGGGATATTGCCGCTAAGATCGGCATGAACAAACAGCCACTTGGAGAGCCTGCGGGTTCAGAGACTTCTCTACGATAACATTGACCAATTGCCTGCTTCTTCCCTTGAACCGACTATATAACCCCAATCCTTCCTTTCCCATCCTCGCGAATCGACCTTTCTCCTTCTCAGGCAACCTCTACATCTCATCCAAGGTCCTTCCTTCTCTCAAGGCAATCCATTTGAGGCCCAAAACACCCATACCACCTCTCTTTGGAATCCTGAAGCGATTCAGATCACTACCATGGATATCAAGAAGACGAGCGTCGAGCTTCAAGAGCATGTGCAAGACCCTACCTCTCAAAATGGAACAAACCCTTGGAACGAACGTTTCAACGGCGAGACCGAAGAATGGCGGGCGGCGATGAACAAAAAACTCCTGAGAAAAGTCGACTCGCGCCTCATGCCAACCCTCGTTATCATGTATCTGCTCAACTTCCTCGATCGCTCTAACCTAGCCCAGGCGCGTCAAGGGTCTCTCGAGAAGGACCTAGGCATGACAGGCACAGATTTCAACCTTGCCACCTCCATCTTCTTCGTCGGATATCTCCTCATGCAGCTTCCTTCCAACGTCCTGTTGACTCGTCTGCCTCCTTCCATCTATCTTGCCACATCATGCTGCCTCTGGGGTGTCGTCTCGACCTGCAACGCAGCGGCTCACAGCTTCACCCAACTGATTGTCATCCGCTTCTTTCTCGGTTTCGTCGAGGCTCCCTTCTTCCCAGGAGCTGTGTTCCTCATGAGCTCTTGGTACACTCGTGCTGAGTTGACACAGCGTATTTCTTGGCTATATGCTGGCAACGCGCTGGCTAACATGTTTGGTGGCGTCATCGGAGCCGCCATCCTTGGCAACCTCGACGGTGTTCAGGGGCTTGCTTCATGGAGATGGCTCTTTATTATTGTAAGTAGAAGAAAGAGTGTTGTCGTCAATCGCGTTCCCGGGGTCTAGTTGTTCTTGCTAACGGGGCGTCGTTTAATAGGAAGGGGTTGTCGCGATTGCCTTCGCCATCTGTGCTGCCTTCATCCTCCCGAACTATCCCCACTCCACCAAATGGCTATCTGAAGAGGAGAGGGCCTACGCCTGCTATCGACTGGTTCAAGACGTCAACGAGGAAGACACCTACGGCGGGGAGCAGACAATCTGGGATGGTATCAAGCTGGCTGTTCGGGACTACCGTCTCTATGTCTTCGTCCTCCTCCAGCATATCAGCTTGGTCTCGCAAACTTTCCAATATTTTTTCCCTACAATTGTTGGCACGTTGGGTTACGACAAGATTACGACCCTATGGCTCACAGCCCCAGTCTGGGTAAGTCCACCTTGCCTATATGCTCTGTTGTTGCTGAACACAATGCTAATCATGCTGCCACCTCTATAGTTTGCCACCTTCCTTGTCTCCATCGTCGTTACATGGACATCCTCGAAAACAAACGATCGTTCTTTGCATATTTTTGGCCTGATGATTGTGTCCGCCATTGGAAATGCTATCGCTACAGGCACTACTGTTCTGGGAGCCCGGTACTTTGCCATGTTTCTGATGCCAATGGGCGCAATCTCGGCTTGTGAGTATAGCGGCAAATTCCCTCAATCCCATAATATCTGCTGACTGGGTTTTATCAGATCAAATTATCGTTTCATGGGTCGCCAACTCTTTCCCTCGACCAGTAGTCAAAAGGTATGTAGCGTCCTAGGAGGGTCAAGGTCTCTAACTAACCCAACTGGATAGATCTGCTTGTATCGCTGTCGCCAACATGATTGGAAACACGGCCTCTATCTATGGAAGTTACATGTATCCCAGCAGCTCTGGTCCTCGGGTAAGTCGGTGCTTGTCCATTAATTAGCAAAATGTAAAGACTAATCAGTCATAGTATATTCCTGGAGGAAGCGCCAACGCTTGCATGTGCATCTTAACTGCCATTCTAGCACTCGTCCTGCGATTTGTTCATATTCGCGAGAATAAGAAACTGGAAAACTCTGAACAAGAAGTTGAAGGGGCCAAGGTGGCTGCTGATGCGACTCAAGAGAGGAGGGCTGCTGGATTCAGATACATCTATTAGAACCTTGTAGTCCATTAATGTTGTGGCTTGGGGGTTTAACCCTCTGAGTTCATGATACGATGAATATTTAAGCGCCGTCACTTCGTCCCAAACAAGTCTTAAATGATAGAATCCACGTTGGAAAATCCACGGGCCGTGTCTATGCTCGAAACTTCTACTATCAGCCAAACATAATGCAAGGGTGCAGGAAAGTAATTTTGATTTGTACAGTCTCGGCGTCTTGTTGCTGGAGATCACATAATGAAGACCGTTGGGGAAAACAATTCGAAAGTTGAAGGTCATAGAGTTATCTGCTATACGAGACGAGTTTGTCAAGTCCGCTACGGCTGTGTTGCCAGCCACGATGGGCTAAATAACCAAAGTTGAAGTCTAGGAATTCCTTTGGGATTGTCAAATTCAATTATTTGCCTAGATCCAGATATAATCATCTATGTTAGGGACGAGTTATCCAGATTGTGGCGCGCATCTACCAACAAAACGAGGCTTTTCTGGATCAAGGGTTCCTGGTAGGTCTTAGTTCTGAATACCTCTTCCACCATGTCCAGCAACCTGTCCATATCACCCAGGATCCTTAGATACGGCTCCAGAGATGTTCGTGTTCGCACCTGCAACAGGATTAAATACGATGCAAACAAGAGCTGGTACTCAGGCCAGTACTGTAGTGTGTCGTAGGGATTTTCTGTGCTTCGTCGTTGACACATTTGGATAATTAAGGCAGCGCTTTCGATACAATCGCGGCAAGACTCCCACACCCATGGACTATGATCAGATGCTGCGCCGTCAGCAAGGGGGGGCTGAATGGCATATTCCATGTCTTCATGGAGAAAGAAATACAAAACTGGCCTGTGCAGGAAGAAAACGCAGGCAAAGTATCGGAGGGCTAGATTTTTATGAGCCTACAGGACTGTCAGTAAGTTCGGGAGAAGATGAAGTATGCAATGAGCTAAACTACAAACATTGTCCAGCTGAAATGAAGCACCGTGAACGGTGAAGGTCATAATGTCACGAGGGAACTGCCTCTCCATTGGTAGGGACTGATACCACATCCTAAGATCTTCACCAAGCCCAAAGACCAAGTCCTTCAGCTGATGAGGTCGTGCGTAGGCTTGGATGGGGGTATAGAGGGAGAGAATTTTGTTCATGTGGCTTCGTAACCATAAAACACCGTCGGAATTGCTTTCAATTTCGTTGTTCACAGTCGCTTGTGATGGTGAGGTTACTGGGGGCCGTATGACTTCCGGAGAATTCGATGAGAGTATCGCCACCAGGTTGGATGAGTGGTCAGAGAGGATGGTATCTGATGAAAACTCATCGACCTCGGTAAGGATATCGCTTAGCGAGCAAGTAGAGTCAGAATCCATGTTCTAGGATATTATGTTCAAGGCATGCCATACCTTTGAATAATATAGTAGACTCTTGCAAGAGCGGCCAATTGGCTGTCAATGTGAGTGATGGGCTACTCGCTGGAAGAGTCCGATAAAGGCCTACCGGTCATTCTTGGCTCTCACAGCCATACGTTCTATTGAAGGCATCGCTGACTGCAAGGCACCAAGCGCATGGAGAGGTCGGGCCCAATTATTGACCAAACAGTATGCGATTGCCGCAGATATTGTAATACGCTCGTGGACAGTGTTCCACAGCATCCACTGTCGATCAAGGACGGACTTGAAATAAATTGACGCCGTGGCCTGCTGATTGGACAAATCCAGATCTTGGAATGGCAGACATGTGACGGCTATATGTATTAAAATGGCATGTTGGAGGGAATGGTTAGTTGGGTCTATGGTCGTCGAGCGACTCGAAGAGTCAAGAAGCTGCAGAAGACTTCCTTGGCCAAACCCATTGCAAGCATCTAAGAGGATGCGAAGTGTTGATGGGAGACTGTCGCGGATAGCATCAAATGAATCTAAAATTTGAATGAGTTGCCAATTTTGAAGTAGGTGCGATGGGGATGAGGGCTCGGGTGTCCCAAGATTAGTATCTTGAGCAAGTTCACCAAACAGAGGCTCCCGACGATCGGCATCAGCGAGAAAGCTTAATGGATTGCCGTGGGATGAGAGACATAAGCGTAACCGCGGCCACGAGTGAACCATCTGATGGGCAGACGCTGTGTGAAAAGAAGGCGCCAATGATATCTCAGATTCATCAGACTCAGCCGCAAGGTGGCGGCCATGCTGGCACTGGGCCTCAAGAGCCTGGATACGAGCTTCAGCATCAGCAAGGCGAGATAACGTGGATTTATCACTTCAAGATAGTCAGCTACGAGCATGAAGATACGATGACACGGCGTGGGGGGCAACTTAAGTTTCAAGATGTGTTGGCGTCGGGCGGTATTGGCAGATGACGGCAGCATTCGCACAGTGAGTGCACTGGGGTCGGATCCCGTCACACCGGGATTTGCGTTGACGGCATCGGTCACATGCAAGAGCAGTCTTAGCCTGGGTCTTTTTGGTAGAGGCCATGAGTACGCATTACGTTGCCGAGGCTGCTGTGCGCAGGTCGTTGCTTTTGGCTTTGTGGTTATGATATTGATGGGGGCATCCAGATTCTGAAAAGAGGCCTCTACTGTGGTCTGATTACGAATACGAACCCACAGGTAGCCATTCCGCTTTGGAGCTAGCTCAATACTGATACATTCATAGCTAACCGACCTACCGCCTTTAGATCATTATTGGCGAAGGCATTAGGCTTTGGCTTTATGATCTTCTGGAACTTGAGCTTTCAGGCATCTGGAATTAATTAATTTTTATCCCGGTAAATTAGTTTAGATTTGCCAACGGGATATCCATCAGGGTCGGAACTTGGCCGCGCGATTTCAATCAGTTTAGGCAATATAATCAAATACTTATAAATAAGATAATAATTCCTCTGCTACCCATTTGTGAAGCTACAAATATCGATACACGCAAGACTTCTCTGTAGCTTAAACGCTCCAGCCCACTACTGCCTACAGAAGGATTCACCAAGCTTCCAGTCCCAAGCAATTCTAGCCACAGTTGGATCAGGCCCTTTCAGTCTCCACTACATCTACCTCATGAGACAACCCTTGATGGGACAGCTTCTCTTTCGATTCAATTTGGGCTTCGCCAAGCGCTACGTCCTGGAATGCGTGTTTCTTCCATTCTCTAGCGGGAACTCTATCGGTGAAGAACCTATCGAGTTCAAGCAGTGACCGCCCCGTTGTGTCCCCCACGCACCGCCAGGAGTAGAGAATGGTAATGCACGCGAGACCAGCATAGACAAAACCAACCATAGGGCCCAGGTTGGCGTCATAGTATAGGTACGGGCTGGTGAAAGCAATGACCCACACGGTGAAAAAGAAGGAGCCAATGGCGCAGGACATGATCTTGTTGCGGTTCCTGCCCACAGCACACTCGGACGCGATTGTAAAAGCCAGTGGCCCCATCGAGAAGTTGAAGCAGACAATAACGATGTAGGAGAAGACGACAATCGCTGAGCTAACCCCTGTTGTGAAGGCACCGTCACGTCGCGTGGTGCCCAGCCCACCAACGACCACGAGGGCTGCAAACAGACCGCAACTGCACACGATCATGTTGATGCGTCGGGAGATCTTGTTGGCGACTAGGACAGAGACAGCTACGGCGATGACTTGTAGCAGGTTCGTAATCAGGGAAATAGTAAAGGCTTCCTTGATACCAATTGACTGGGCAAAGATCACACCGTATGAGTAGAAGAACTGGATGCCGTTGATTTGCTGGGCGATCATAGCACCAGAGGAGTAGATCAGTTTGCGGCGCTCAATGGGGTCCACGAAAAGCTCAGCCCAGCTAGAGCTCGACTCGTCTTCTTGCTGACGCTTGCAGGCATCTTGGAGGAGGGCTAAGTCTTCATTTGGGCTGTAATCCTTTTTGCTCCTGTTGATCTTGCACAGGGCAACCTCTGCATCGGTAAACCGACCTCTGGAGGCGAACCACATGGGACTTTCCGGAGTGAATGGCAGGAGAAGAACCATGATGCCCGGTAGCGCAATCAAAAGACCCATTGGGATCAAATATGAGTTTTTTCCATCGATCGTAGCTGTGCCTTGGGTGATGCCGGATCCAACGAGTTGTGAGCAGGATTGCATAAACTGGAACATCATCAACGCGGGACCACGGACCGCTTGAGGTGCTACTTCACCAATGTAAAGAAGACAAGTCACGGTAAACTGGCCAATGCCAAGTCCGATGAGGATACGGCCCAGTACAATGACGCCTTCTTGTCCGGACGCGAGGAGCTGGGCAATCGCACCGGCAATGATGCAGGCTGACGCACAGTAAAAGACGGCCTTGCGGCCATATCTTGTGTTGATCGGCGCGGCACCGAGAGCTCCAATAAGTTCTCCGACATAGATGATGGATGAAGTCAAGGAGGTGAAGGAAGTGGGGAGCGCTTTGGTGCCGTCTGGGTTGGAAGAGCCGTATCGGTCAATGAAGGGGTCCATGCCCAACAGGCCGGTATAGTAAATCTGATCATAGCCGTAGCATAGAGCACCGAAAGATGACACGCCACAGTAGAAGAGAGACCACGCGTGGGAGCGGAAGTCAATGCTGAAGAGTCCCATGGCTCCCGATTTGAGTTGCAGAAGAGATGATCCAAAAAGTATGTAGAGAAGGCTGAGGTGTTGATTCGTTTAACCTGCAAGTTAAGACATGATCGAAGGAGGACCTGAGAATTTATAGATAAAAATATTAGGATTGAGAATATGTGCAAACAAACCTGGTGGCCGGCAGTCACTTGGTTCCATAATCAAGTCTGGGGAAGCCAGCCAGTCTTTCTCGCGTGAGTCAGTATATCCGGGGTCTGGACCGTTAGAGCTGGAGAAGTAGCACATGACCCCAGATCCCTCATTGGCCAGATTGTCCGGGTATTCCACCTTTGGTCCCAGGAAAAGTGAACTTCGTTCTTGGAAAGCGGATCAAAAGGGATGGGGTTGGTCGGGGCATCCCCCGACGGAGGCTCCCCGAAAACTACTTGGGGTCCCATGCGTGATGTGGAGAGCGCTCCCCGACTTCACGAACTGACTATTTCCTAGCACGTGAGAAATTCAATATTACTTTTCTCTCCTGATCCCTATCCTTAACTTCATTGAGCAAAAACAAAAATCAAACGACCATTTGGAAAACCCCTGGAGCCATTGATTCTCCTCACATCGAGTGTTCTGGTCTAAAATGTCTTCCCGTCTTGACGAGCTTCGCGCCGCCGGCACCGTTGTTATTACTGATACTGCTGATTTCCAGAGTGAGCCTTTTGCATCTTCTTAATATTGCGCTTCTTGTTAATGTTTGACCAAAGAAATCGCCGCATTTAGGCCTTCTGAAGGCACTACCAACCCTTCTCTGATCTTTACCGCTGCTCAAAATGCGTCCTACGAACCTCTTCTAACCAAGACGATATCTTATGTACGATCCCTCCCTGAGGAAACATGCCGCGACGAACAGCTTTCCCGTGCGGTTGAGATGCTATCTGTCCAGTTTGGAAAAGAAATATACAAACTTACAGGGCGCATCAGCACCGAAGTCGATGTTAGCTTGTCATTTGACACTGCTGGAACGGTCGCTGCAGCGCTGCGTATCCTCGAACTATATGCGGCCGAGGGTATCCCCAAAGACAAGGTACGCATCAAAATCAGCGCTACATGGGAAGGTATTCAAGCAACGAGGATCCTCCAAAAAGAGTATGGCGCAAGCTGTCTTGTAACCATTGTATTTGGATCTGTTCAAGCCATTGCAGCTGCGGAGGCTGGGGCTGATGCGATTGCGCCATACGTCGGTAGAATCGCCGACTATGGAAAGCAGCACGGCCATCAGGGTGATTTGGGTATTGAGGTAGTCTCGGCCATACAGAACTACCTTCGCAAATACAACCACTCAACGCAAGTCATGGCAGCAAGCTTCCGAAACGTGGATCAAATACGGGCTCTTGCGAGCATTGATCTACTCACTGCAGCACCCTCGATTCTCGAGCTCATCGAAGCCGATAATAGGCCTGTGGTGCCTGTTTTAACGGTAGAAAGTGGTACGTTGCTTTGCTTCCTTAACAATAGATGCTATGTCAAGCTAAGTCTTTTTTTCCGCTTCCCACAGCGCAAGCTGCCGAGCTACAACAGGTTTCATATATTAACGACGAGTCGAAATTCCGATGGGCATTTAACGCAGATGCCTTGGCTGTAGAGAAATCAGCCGAGGCGATGCGAAAGTTTGGAGATGATACAGAAAAACTTAAATCCTTATTGTCAAAGCTGTTAAATGTCTAGGCAAAAGTCCTGCAATTGTTCCGATGAATAGCAGCATTTCGGGAGGTAGAAGAAAGTGAGAAAAAGAAAAAGAAATGGTGCTGTTTGATGATCGTTGCTCAGTCT